ATATATATGCATGATTCAGATACTTTCTTTTAGACTTCACTAAAAACTATGCAAGAAAAGAATTAAATTGAGCTGGGGAAGTCACTCGGTGTTAGAGAAGCTGCCTGTCATGCAAAAAGCCCTGGGTTACACCTCCAGTATTGAAAAAAAAAGCATAAAATTGTTCTCAGTTGCTCCCTAAATGACATAAATACTATAATGCTATAATATAAAGTTTTATTGGGGCAGACAAGAAAATGGGCTATTGATTTGCCAATACGATAAGGAAAAATTATTAGGGGTAATGAGCGGTCTTGGGCTGTTTCAAAAACACAAATACAAACAAACAAAAGAACACTGGAGTGGGACATAGACTGGAAAACTGCAGAATGAAGATTCTAATGTAGGATTTAGTAGGATTATTGATTCTCAACTAAGCAAGTGTCTACATGTGCATATGAGTGACTACAAGTGGATGTGTGTACGTGAGTCGTGTGCATGTGTGTGCAAATGTACACTTCCATATACATGTAAAATCTTCAAAGTAATATAGAAAGATAGAGCACAGAACAGTTCTTCCCCAAAAAGGTACATATCCTCCTCATCCGCCTCTCTTGTATACGTTATACGTACATAAAAGTATACAGTCACACACATATATTTAATCTCTTACGTCTAACAGCCACCCCTCCAGGCCCGTATTTAGAAACTGCTTCGTTCCCTTTCAGAGCCACCTTGGACCCTGGGACAGGGTCGCGCACACTGCAGAATCACTCGTAGGCCACACTCTCAGGAGGTGATCTGCCAGGCATCCCCACTGCCATCTCTGGGTAAGGACCCCCAAGCACTGTGTTCCCCGTTTAACACGGTCAGGAGGCAGACAAACCCACGTGCAGCTCGAATGTCGCTGTACCTACGCGATGGGAGGACATCTAAAATCCCAGTGATGATGTCGGCTAGGATACAAAGAGACAGGCTGCATGGAAATGTGCCAATGTTTTCACAGTTGCAAAAGCAACTTGTAGTTACTTGCACACTCAGTGGTCACCATAAGTGGCCATTTCAAAACTGCAAGTTTGTGGGCTTTTCTGAGGGCCCCACACTACTTATTAAGCACTCAGCAGGACAGGCACCCCAGCGAGCCTCAGGAACATGGCAAACTCACCAAGACCAGCGCTTCCTCCTTCCCCAGAGATCTCTCCCCTACCTGTGCTGTGGGTAGAGCCTGGTTGGTTCCCACTAAAACTCACAAGAAGTGGAATGCCCCAGTGTACCTGCATTGAGGCAGTGGGCCATTTAAGGGAGGGCACTGCCCTCAGATGTAGTTCTCGAGGGACCAGGCTTGTGCCCCCAAAGTGAGTTGTACAAGAGAGAGCCGAGCCTCTCCCACATGCGTGTCTGGCTTCCTCTCCACCGTGTCATCTCACACATGCACACGCCCTGTGTGATGCTACCTGCAGCACTGATGCAGCAGAGCCTTTTACCGCACATGGTTGCCCAGTGTAGCCTCCAGAACTGGGAACTTAATAAAGCTCTCCACTTTACAAAAGCACCCAGCCTCGGGTACTTTATTATAGCCATACAAAACAGAACAAAACAATTGGCTCCCCCCAGTGCCAGATGCACACTAAACACCTTGGATTGTACAAACATCCGGAAAATTGGCACCAGCTCCTCATCCTCTAGGTGGTCTGCACACTGGATGGCCACATTCAGGATGTGGATGGGCTCCTCTCGGAGGCTCTGTGAGAGAAAAATAAAGGCTGGGGGTAAAAGGGATGGGTCCCCTCCTGTGGGTTGTTTCTGGACTCAGATGCTTACCTTGTAGTCATCCTCGGAGTACAGGGTGGTACAGGCCTTGCTGAAGACTGGGATGTCTTTGGGCACATTGGCAAAGCAGGAGATGACTTCATCGAAGTTCCTGGAGGGATAGGCACAGAGGGAGGCTAAGGCACCACTGTCTCATGAGGACAGCAGTCAAGGTTTCAAGGCAGGCATGTGGGAGCCCCAGGCTCTCCTCCTTTCCTAACCAAGACTGCAATTTCATCCAACACCATGCGGGACTCTTGTGACTCCTCAATTTTGCCCATAGCACCCCAGTGGACTTGTTCCCAAAGATGAAGAATGAACCAATAGGATCTGAGATCAGGGATCCAAAAAAGGGTTCCAACACTCTAGGTCATCAGTTGGGTATCAAGTCAACTCTTGGCTCCCGCTTTTACCAGGCGGGAGACCCAAGACCTCCCCTCATAGGAGTCCTGTGAGGTTAACAAGAGTGATTCCTCACCAGGCTGTGGGAAAACGCAAAGGAGAATTTAAGCACAATGCATTCCACATGGTAACCAGCAGAGAAAAGGGTAGTAACAGTACTAGTCTGACAGTTACTGAGCATATTGTTTACATAGGAATTATACTTTAAATATATTATTCCACATATCTGCTCTCATTTAATTTCCACGCCTCCTCTCCAAAGTAGGTCCTCCTCTTAAGCCTTTTCACAGGTGAGAACCCTAAGAGAGGCTAAATAATTTGCTCAGTCTCACAGTTAGAAGGTAGAGAGCCAGGCTGCGGACGTGGGTCAGCTGACACCAGGCCTCACATGCTTGGCTATAACGCTCTCATGATTCTGTTACTTTTTTCAATTTCTTCTTAACCAATACAGAAAAATATAAAATTATACATAGGGAGAGGGTACCATGTAATGTTCCAATACTGTGGATACACTGTATAATGTTCAAAGCAAGTCAAACACATCTATCTCTTCATTTATCATTTTTTTTATGGTGAAACTTTCAAAATCCATTCTTCCGCTTTTTTGAAATGTACAGTTCATTGGTGGTACTGTGTATCTCAGTACCCACTGAAAACTCAGCTCCCCATCACTCTTATGATTCTTATGATTATTTTAAAAAATTAACTAATATATTTATTTTGCAGTGCTGGGGGCTGAATCCAAGGAGCATTGTATTTCTCTGCCCCTTTTTAAATTTTGATTTGTGGTCTTTCTAGGTTACCCAGCCTAGGCTAGAACTTGTGCTCCTTCTGCCTCAGCCTCCTAAGTAACTAGGATTACAGGCCTCTGCCACAGCACTCAGCTTGCATTGTTATTTTGAACTCACTGCCCAATGTGCCAATAAATGGGTGAGGTCAGGGGACGTCTGCCCAGCCCCCCTATTGCGGGTGCTTCAGAGACCTGGTCACACCATACCTGGTGAAATCCTCAAATCTCCTGAAGGCAACCATGGCCCCCATGCGCTGACAGAGTGGGGAGAAGCCGCTGTCCATGAAGAGCTCTGTACTGCGCCTCAGCAGGTCAGGGTTGGTGACACTGATGGGCACCGTCATCCTGCAGGGTGAAGGCAAGGGCAGGATGAGGCAGCCGTCTGCAGCCTGCAGCTCCAACCGCTTCCAAGAGCAGCTGGGCACTTCAGGGAGCCAGGCCAGGCTTTCAAAGGGAGGCTAAGCCAGGGCCTGAGGAGTCTCATCTGATTCCTCAGTCATGGTGTGCCGTAGGAGCCCAATAAGTGAACGAATGAGTGAACAACGCGTACATCCAAATCCAGGCACAACCCAGCCCCCGGGAAACTCCAAAGTGGTGAACAGAGCCACACAGAGAACACACACTCCCAGCATCGAATTTCCCTGTACAGCCCCAGCCCTGGGCAGCCAAAGAGGGAACAGGCTTGGCTCTAGGCCTCTGGCTTCCCCTTCACCAAACCTCTCTGGGCGTAAAATCAGCTGCCTATTCAAATCTAGATGCCTGCTGCTCCCAGGTATGGCGGCTCACCAGGAGCAACTCCACACAGGTTCTCTGAGGGTTTTGGAACCAGGCCCTGGATTCAGATGTAAGAAGAGGTGATCTGATGGTGTGCAGAAAAGCATCAACCCGGAGGCCTGAGCTTCTCTTTATAGGAAGGAGAACTGCTTGCAAGGCTTGCCATTGGTTGTCGTCCAGCAATCTGAATTTGGGGAAGGGTCTCCCACTCTTCCCTGAATGGTAAGGATAGTTTGCTATGTCTAAGCTGTCTGTGCAAACATCATGATTTAGGCTGAGCACCTACTTTCCCTGGGGTCCTGGGATCTCAGGGCCAAGCAGAGATGCCTACATGACCAGCTGCCAATAAAAAGCCTGGGTGCGGGTCCCAAACAAGCCAGCAGCCCACAGTGACACGTGCTGTCCCACACATTGCAAGGCGAATCAGTGTGTTAAGTGTCCGTCCACTAGGTGGCGACTCAGTGCTCGTGCCTGCTCTCCCCTCGAATTCAGCCAGGTGCCTCTGCCTTTGCTAATTCTGCTTTGGAGCCTTGTGTGGTAATAAGCCGGTCCATGCACATCACTGTACACTAAGTACAGGGAGTCCTATCAGCAAATCAAACCTGGGTGCTTCTGGGGACCCACAACACAGGCGCTTGTGTTCCTGTTCGGTACCTCTGGAATGGGGACCCAGGGCCCCTTCATATAACTAAATCCAGAGGTTTCAGAGCCGCATTCATGGTTCAGATAATACTCTTAACACACGAGTTAGCTGCTCACGTTAAAAAGTTGAGGGATTTCAGATTTTTTTACAAAAACAAAAATCTAGATTTCTCACTTCTGGAAAATAACTCTCTCTCTCTCCTGGGCTTGATGGCCACTGTCCTTCAGGGCAACAGTGGGTGGACTAGAACTGTAGCCCCTCCGGTCATACAGCCAGCTCATGCCTTGGGACCCTGCAACGAGTGAGCACCCAAGCCCATGGTGCACGAAGCCCTGCCAAGCTCTCCCCTGGCCTCTCCGAGGACATCAGTGACCTAATTTACCATGTACCTTGCTCTATAAACACAGGTGCAAGGGGAGACCAGGCTCTCCTGGGTGGGGGTCTTCACTCCTCATGCTTCTTCCCAGAGGCCTCAAAGGTCTGTGCTTGGTCAGCCACAAGTCAGCACTCAAAGCCCACATCAACAACGGGGTCCGTCAACCTGGGTCAGGGACCCTCTGGGAACCTCACTGTCTCTCTGGGCTCCAACAGGAACCTGCTTCCCATACTGGGCTGATTAGCAATAACCTGAGTATAGTTCAGGTCCTTCCTAACATGCGTCATATGACACAGTGCCCTTGGGAGCACGGCCTTCCCTTCCCAGCAGGGCTGCACTGCTGAGTCAATGAAACTAGCAGAGAAAAGAACTCCTCATTAGGAGCATACAATTAGAAAATGTTTACACCACATCTCCTGCTAACCCCCAGATGACCCCAGGCTAGAACTAGTATAAGACTTTTCTCACAACTAGACAAAACATCACAATCACTTCTTAGAAAATAAGAAGGATAAAAATAAACAATGAACACAGAAAGAAATGCCTCACAGGGAAGCCCTTCTTTTCTGCATCCATAATCCCATTCTTCCAAAAATCAATAGAAAGAGGAATTTATTTTTAAAATCCCAAGAGGCCAGGAAAATCCCTGCTTCAGGAGAACATGAACCTTGCATGCTGTACAGATACAAGATCTGATCTGCGGAATCCCCAGATCACGATGTGACACCATTGTGTGCACAAGCAAGGTCTTTAGGAAACCCCATAATGACCAGAAACAGAGGAACTACAAAGAATGAAAGGGAACACCTTGGACCCCAGGGAAACATAATTACTGTATGGAAGATACTGCTTTCCACCTGACCAGAAGGGGGTAACAAATCCTAAAATAAGACGGGTTAAAAAAGAGACTGTGAGCGAGCTCTACAGACACAATGAGAACCTCAGGTGAAAGCAGGAGGGAGCTCACTGAGCACAGACTCTGGCAGACACAGGCAGGATGACCCCTGTGTTCCTGTCTCTGGCTTCCAAATACACTCAAGTACCATGGGAAAAACTCAAGCAAGACCATGCATGACATGGGCTTTGACCCCAACTTTCCATGAATGAGCAGCTCAGCCTTTGTGTAGTGAAGGCTCCAAGGCGCTCATCTATAAAACGGAGATGAGAACATACTTTTGGCCAACAGCCAGACCTGACTGTGCAGGAATATGGTGCCTGGCCACCAGCATGCCATTACACAGTAGTAAATACAGTATTAGGCATGATCACCACAGGGTGCTGATACCCATAAATATATTTGTGCCAGGAACATCCTAAACGTTGTATGTGCCTTATCTCATTTACCCTTCACAACGATCTAGGTCACTGTGGGTCACTAGAACTTTCTACGATGATGGAATGTTCCAGAACTTCACTGTCCAATATGGCAGCTGTGAGCCCATGTGGCTACTTAACATTTTAAATGTAGCTGGTGTATCTAAGAGACTAAATTTCTTATTTCTTTTCATTTCTTAAAATTTTATTTATTTATTACATTTGCACCACTTGGGGAAGAACCCAGGGCCTTCACATTGAGCTATATACCCAACTCTTTTTTGTTGTTGTTTTTGTTTTTCTTTTTGAGACAGGGTCTTGCTAAGTTGCTAAATTGGCTGGGATGGAACTTGTGATCCTCCTTCCTGCCTTAGCCACCCAGAATGCTAGGACTATAGGCATGCACCACTACACCTGCCTCATTTATTTTAATTTGAAGAGGCACACATGGCATTTGGCTACCGCAATGGATGGTGCAGGTGTAGGAGGAGGGCCTGGATTTTCTCTACTTTGTAGCACGCTGCTATGGGGGAATCCACAGTGGGGAGGGGGTTTCCCAGACACCTCCCCAGCAGCACTGCTAGACACGCTTGCTGGGTCCCTCCAGGGATAAGATTAAAGGGAGCAAAGAAACCAGTGGGTACCACTGCATACCGATTTGGATGGGAAGAGGGCAGCATGAACTGGAACTCCACTACGCAGGTGCCATCTGGGAGCTCACGGTGCTGCAGGCTGTTTAGCTCATAGGCAATGTAGCCCCTCCGCACGTAAACCTGACAGAGCAGAAGCAGCAGTGGATATTCAGAGCGGGCCAGAGTGTCTTACAGTCCCAAGAAAACTGAGGCTGAAGGGATACCAGAAATGATCTTTACACAATCCCTAAGCAGCCCTGGAGAACGTTTTCACAAGGCTTGATAAACTTGCTGTGAAGCACTAAATAGCAAATATTTTTGACTTTGTGGGATGTGTCATCGCAGTTGCAACCATTAGATTCTGCTGTAGTAGTATGAAAGCAGCCTGAAAGTTATGCTATAAATGGGTATGTCTTTGCTTCAATAAAACTTTATTTGCAAAAACAAGCAGTGTGCCACAGGTGGCCTGCAGGCTATAGTCTGCCACCCCATGCTCTAGAGAAGCTCTGACCCACAGAAATACAACACAAGCCACATACATAATTTTAAATTTTCTGGAAGCTAAAAAGGTAATGGGAAAATAAAGTAACATAAAAATAATTTTAATAATATATTTTATTTTTCCCTGAAATCATTTCAACACGTGACTGATTCAAGAACTTATATAGTTATCTTCCATTCTTCCCCCATGCTAAGTCTTCGGAATCCAGCCCAGCTCAATGCAGACAAGTTAGACAAGAACCTGTCTCAATAAAAAGAAAGAAAAAGTACCAAGTCCCAGTAGACTATACTTCACATACACTGTCGCAACTCACTGCTGGAGGAATCAACACACCTTATGTGTCTCTACTAGGAGATGACCCTTGGAAGCCTGTGCTTCCTTGTAAAGGGAACAATCCAAGAGGAAGAGATGACAGTCATAAACATATATGCACCAAACACTAGTGTGCCCAATTATATAAAACAAATACTAACAGAAATGAAAAATCATATAAGCACTAATAGTACTGGGAGATCCCAATACTCCAGTGTCACAAATAGATAAGAAAAACCAGGCAAAAAATAAACAATGAAATAGTAGAACTCAATCAAACTCCTGAACAAATGAACTTAACAGATATTTACTGAGTGTTCCACCTCACAAAATCAGAATACACATTCTCTTCAGCTACACATGGATTGTTCTCCAAATAGAGACCACATACTCACTCATGGAACATCTAAGTACAAAGGAATTGACGTTATCCCCTGTATATTATCAGACCATAGTGCAATGAAATTGGAGATCAGTAGCAAAAGAAACTGCAAGAATTTCATAAACACATGGAAATTGAACAACACGCTTGTGAATAACTAATGGGTTACAGAGGAAATTAAAGAAGAGATCAGACAGTTTCTACAATTAAGTGATAATGACAATACAACATACCAGAATCTATGGGACACAATGAAAGCAGTCTTCCAAGTGAAATTTATAGCAGTGAATACTCATATTAGGAAAACAGAATGTGCTCAATTACACAACCTGATGCTGAACCTCAAACTTCTAGAAAAAGAAGAGTAGGTCAAATCCAAACGTCATACAAGGGAGGAAATTATAAAGAGATCAGGGCAGAAATTAATGCAGTGGAAACTAAGAGAACAATACAAAAAAAATCAACGAAGCCAAGAGTTGGTTCTTTGAAAGAGTAAACAAAACTGACAAACCCTTAGCCAACCTTATCAAAAAAAGGAAAAAGGCCCAAATCCATGCAATTGGGAATAAAAAAGGTGAAATTACAATAGACCCAGCAGAAATCTGAAGGATCAACAATACTTACTTCAAGAACCTATATGCCAATAAGATGGAAAATACAGAAGAAAGGTACAGATTCCTAGATTTATATGAATTACCAAAGTTGAACGAAGATGACCTAAAAATTCTAAACAACCCAATATCAATCAATGAAATTGAAAACGTAATGAAAAATTTACCAACTAAGAAAAGTCCAGGTCCCGATGGCTTCACTGCTGAATTCTACAAGACATTTAGAGAGGAACTACTGCCACTCCTGTTTAAACTCTTCAAAGAAATTGAAAGGGAAGCAACACTCCCAAATTCATTCCTGGAAGCAAGTATCTCCTTGATCCCCAAAGCAGAGAAAGACCCAACTGAAAAAGAGAACTATAGGCCAATCTCACTAATGAACATAGATACAAAAAATCTTTAATAAGATACTCGCAAATAGAACATAGAAGATCATTAAAAAGGTCATACACCCTGACCTAATGGGATTCATCCCAGGAATGCAGAGATGGTTCAACATATGCAAATCAAGAAATGCAATACACTATACTGACAGAGTCAAGAACAAAAACCATATGATCATCTCAATAGATGCAAAAAAAGCATTTGACAAAATCCAACACATATTTATGATAAAAATCCCTCCAAAAAACTGGAATAGATGGTCTCTACTTCATTCTTATAAAAGCTATCTATGTAAAACCAACAGCCAATATCATACTAAATGGTCAAAAACTGAAATCCCTCACACTAAAATCAGGAACAAAACAAGGATGCCCACTATCACCACTCCTATCCAATATAGTTTTGGAAACATCAGCCACAGCAATTAGACAAGAGAAAGAAATAAAAGGAATAAAGATAGGAAGTGAAGAAGTCAAACTGTCATTATTTGCAGATGACATGACACTCTACTTAGAAGACCCCAAGAACTCACCAAAAGTCTTCTAGACTTAATAACCAAATTCAGCAAAGTAGCTGGATACAAGGTCAACACACAAAAATCAATAGCTTTTCTGTATACAAAAAACAGACACTGAGAGAGAAGTGGGACAATTCCTTTCACAATAGCATCCAAAAATTGAAATACCTATGAATCTACCTAACAAAAGAAATCAAAGACCTCTACACTGAAAACTAAAATACCCTGAAAAAAGAGCTTGCAGAGGATATCAGAAAATGGAAAGACATCCCTTGCTCCTGGGTAGGAGAATCAACATAGTGAAAATGGCCATACTTCCAAAGCTGCTATATAGATTCGATGCAATCCTAACTGAAATTCCGGCAGCATACTTCACAGATTTTGAGAAAACAATCCAAAAATTCATTTGGAACAAGAGACCTAGAATAGCAAAAGCAATTCTAGGCAATAAAGACAAGGTAGGGGGTATCACAATCTCCAACTTGAAACTACACTACAAAGCTACTGTGATAAAAACAACGTGGTACTGGCAAAGAAACAGACCTGAGGATCAGTGGAACAGAATAGAAGATGCAGAAACAACTGCAGACATACTCAGCCACCTCATCTTTGACAAAGGAGCTAAACACCCTCACTGGAGGAAAGATAGCCTCTTTAATAAATGGTGCTGGAAAAACTTGGCTTCAATTTGCCAAAGATTAAAACTAGATCTATATCTCTCACCATGCACTAATCTAAAATTGAAATGGATTAAATATCTAAATATTAAAACAGAAACACTTAGCTGGCTGGAAAAGAGGTTAGGTAGAACTCTTGAAGACATTGGTGTAGGAAAAGATTTTAAAACCTCAGTTGCCCATGAACTAGAACAAACAATCAACAAGTGGGATCTCTTCTTGATAAAAAGTTTCTGCACAGAATTGATAGGACTCTTTTTGATCAGTTGAATAGATACCAATGTCAATGTATGGGAAACTTCTCTTAAAACTTGTTCATGTATTATTTTGATCCATTTTCTGTGGCATTTGGTGCAATAAACCTTTGGAATTTATCTTGAACAACAACAACAAAAAAAGCTTCTGCATAGCAAGAGAAACAACCAACAGTGTGAAAAGACAACCCACAATATGGGAAAAACTTCCCACCAGCTGTTCCCCAGACAAAGGTCTACCATCTAGACTATATAAAGAACTTAAGAAAATCAGACCTCCCAAATTTAAAGACCCAATCCAAAAATGGGCATCTGAAATGAACAGACATTTCTCAGACAAAGAAGTAGAAGTAGCAAATAAACTTATGAAGAAATGTTCAACATCACTGGTCATTCGAGAGATACAAATGAAAACAACACTGAGATTCCACCTCACCCCAGAAAGAATGGCTGCTATCAAGAAATCAACCAATAACAAATGCTGGTAGGGCTCTGGGGAAAGAAGAACCCTGTTTCATAGCTGGTGGGAGTGCAGACTGGTACAGCCACTGTGGAAATCAGTATGGAGATTCCTCAAAGAACAAGGATCGGAGGTCCCATTTGACCCTGCTATCCCTCTGCTGGGAATCTTTCTCAAAGAATTAAAAAGAATCATACTACAATGATATATGTGCACCAATGTTCATAGCAGCACAATTCATGACAGCTAAAACTTGGAAGCAGCCCAACTGCCCATCAATGGGAGACTGGATAAAGAAAATGTGGGTTTTTTTTAATGAAATGGAGTACTACTCAGCCATAAAGAATGAGAAACTAGAGATATTTATAGCTAAATGGATGCACATTGAGGCAATACTCTAAGTGAAATAAACAGGACATATATGTGTAAGTACCGAATACTTTCTCTAGTGTGAGAAAATGAAAGTGTAAATAAGGACTAAAAGATATAATAGATAATGTGAAATAGGAAGAAAAGGTGCAAAGCGTAAGGGGAAATGGGAGGGTAGGGGAAAAGAAAGATGGGAGTGGAATTAAAATGAGAAAAAGAAAAAATGGAAACAAAGTCTTTGTAGATAGGGAGGGGTGGAGGGGTGGAAGGGAGAGTAGAGGAACTGGGAAAAAATAAGAACCAAGATGGATTGTGTAAAGGTAGAAATTTCCAGTGATGAATGTCACCACATTGTATACCTCAAATGTACCAACAAAATTAATTTTTTAAAAAAAAAATGGGCCCAGTAACATTTCCTACCTTGCAGGGAGAATGGCAAGTTCATGTCCGCGAGGCCTGTGGCCTGGGTCAGGGACCTGTTGGGTGGGCAGTGGCTGCTTGGCCTGGCATGCTCAGCTCTGCAGGAGCTCCTTACCTCCAGTGATGCCATGCAGACGACCTTGTTAGCATGGTAGAAGAAAGTGGGCAGCACATCAAATATGGTGGTTTCGGAAAGTATTAATTTCTACAGGAAATTTTAAAAAGGAGAAGTGAACACGGAGAAGCATCAACCAGCATCTGGGTGGGGTGGGGAGAAGCTGAGTATGTCCCTATCACTAGTTGTGGCCACTGTTGCCGGCACACAGGGCTCCCCTGAGATCAGACAGCGACACCTAGGGAAGACAGCGCGCAGGGCCAGTTCTCAGGTTCAGACACTAAGGCTGCCTGCGTCCTGGTAAAGGAACTAGAGTCCTGGGGGTGCGGCTGGGGCTGGGCACACCAGACTTGGCCGGGGAGAGCTCAGCTGTGGCAGGGCCTGTGGCTTCCAAACATGCTTCATTGCTGCACCTGCCAGACAAGCCCTGTGCCTGCCACCCTGTGCCTCCTGCAGGACCAAACTCCATGGCCACCCTTCCCAGAGCCTTCCTACCATCCTTGTACAGGATTCGGAATCACACCAGACTGGCAGCTCCTTGAGGTCAGGAGGAGCTCCCAGCTTCCGAGACCCACCCAGTAAGTGCTCTAGGGACACTGAAGGAAGCAGAGGCCTCACCTTGAGGTTTTCTGGGCAGAACTGGTGGCCGTACATGTCAATGGCAGACAGGAAGATGGACTCTACCTGGTTGTGCCTCAGCTCATAGGAGGGGAGGTGGGAGGCGATCAGGACCTATAGGGAAGGGGACAGGGGGCAGATGTGAGAGAGTCGGTGGGTGAGGGGACCACGCACTGGGGCACCACACCACTTTGAGACCCTACCTGTCTGGCTCTGAGGGCCACTTTGCAGTGTTCGGTCTTGCTCAGCTGAGTGAGCTCATTGAGGATGGAGGTCAGCTCCTCTGACAGGGAAGGATCTGGGCCACAGAGCTCATCCTTCGGGGGACAAAAACAAAATCCAAATGGTTTTTCTCTACAGAGAATGACAGGGCCCTGGCACTCACCTCAGCCAGGGGTGCAGCTGCCCCCAGTAGTCTGAAATGCACGCCCCTGCCCCTTCCTAAAGCATACCCACCCCACTCCACTCTTTCATTCACCCACTCATCTACTAAAAAACATGTCCTCAAGTCCTTGTAACAAGAAAAATATAACTTCCTACCTGTATTACAGGCTGAATAGCACTTATTCAAAAAGCTTGGGACCAGAGTTGCTATGGATTCAGAATCTTTCGGATTTTGGAATATTGGAATATATATAATGAGCTATCTGCAGGTGGATCCAGGTCTAAATGTGAAATTCACTTATGTTTTATATTATGTTATACACACAAGCTAAAGGTAATTTTATACAATGTTTTTTAGTGCACCTTCATTTAGACTGAGACATCACAGAAGGTTGGATGTAGAACTTTCCACTCGTGGTGTTGGTGTTGAAAAAGTTCAGATTTTGGATCATTTCACATCTAGATTTTTTTTTTTTTTTTTTTTTTGGTCC